CTTGTCAAGCTCAACCCAACATCCCCTTTATAAAAGGATCGTGCTGGCCTGGGGGGGTGGCTCCGGCCCCTCATCCCAGCGCTCTGGGAGGCCGAGGTAGGAGGATTACTAGAGCTCAAAAGTTTGAGACCAGTCTGGGTAACATAATGACACCCCTTCTCTACAAAAAAAAACAAAAACGGCGAGTGTGGTGGCGCCCAACTGTGTTCCCAGCTACTTGAAGGGCTGAGATGGGAGAATCCTTGCACCTGGCAGGCAGAGGCTGCAGTGGGCTGTGATTATGCTACTGCACTCCAGCCTGGGCAACAGAGCAAGACTCTGTCTAATAAAAATTAAAATAAATAAATTAAAGTATCATGCTCAGAAAAATAACACCATGTCTTTTGTTTCAGACTTTGGTAGGCATAATAGTCCCCAAAGATGTTCACATCCTAATCCCCGGAACCCATGAATACACTGTCACACAGCAAAAGAGACTGTGCTGGTAAGACGAAGGCAATTTCTTCATCTCCCTTTTGAAAGGGTGATCATCGGTATTCACCACGTGGACCCAACCTGATCTCATGAGGCCTTAAAAGCAGAGAACTTGGCTCATGTCTGTAATCCCAGCACTTTAGGAGGCTAAGGTGGGCCAATCACCTGAGGTCGGGAGTTCAAGACCAGCCTGACCAACATGGAGAAACCCTGTCTCTACTAAAAACAAAAAATTAGCCAGGCTTGGTGCTACATGCCTGTAATCCCAGCTACTGAGGAGGCTGAAGCAGGAGAATCACTTGAACTGGGAAGGCAGAGGTTGCAGTGAACTGAGATCGCACCATTACACTCCAGCCCAGACAATAATTGTGAAACTCTGCCTACAAAAAAAAAAAAAAAAAAAAAAAAAAAAAAAAGCAGAGAACTTCCTCAGGCTGGAGGCAAAAGGAAGGTGGGAGAGATTCCAAGCGTGAGGAGGATTCCCCCGGCCCTTGTGGTTCTGCGGTGCAGGCGCCACGTGCAAGGACCAGAGGCCCGCGAGCTCAGGACGGCTCCCAGCTCCGACAGCCAGGAAGGAAACAAGGCCTCAGCCCTGCAGCCACAGGGAACCGGAGGCTGCCAGTGGCCTGGAATGGTTTAGAAGTGGATTTCCCAGAGCCTCCTGACGAAAGTCTAATTGGTCAACCCCAGGACTACAGTCCGTGAGAGCCGGAGCAGAGAAACCAGCCGCGCCCAGCCGGCCTTCAGCCCTACAGGCCCGTGTGAGAGGACAGTGGTGAGAGGGACTCACCTGCCTCTGCCCACCGCCCTGTTACTGCAGTGCACTCAGGGTCCTCCTTCCACACCCTCTGCAAAGTCCCTCACAGCCAGCCCGTGCCTCTGTCTTCTCCCCAAGGTCTCCCCTCCCGCCGCTCCTCCCACAGATGCAACACTGGCTCTGCACTGCTTCTCTTCTCCCCTCCTCGGGACTTGATTCCCAGACCGCCTCTCGGTGGGACCCACCGTGACGCTGTCAGGACCCTCTCCACCCTCCCCGGCCTTACTTCTCCTTATGGTCCCACATGCATCTATTCACTGACATATTATTCATCGCCTGGCTTTTCTATTAAGCAGATGATTCTCAACTGGCAGTGACATCGTTCCTCACTCCCCCCAGGTGACAGTGGGCATTTCTGCAGGAGGCCCCTGGCATCTGATGAGCAGAGGCCAGATATGCTGTTCAACATCCTTCACTGCAGAGGAGGCCCTGCCACCAAGCATGGTCCAGCGCAAACCTCCGCTAGCGCCACAGCAGAAACATCACCTCCCACGCCATCAACTCTGTGAGAGCGGGGATGTGTTTGTCACGACTGCGTCCTGGTCCCCGGACCAGAGGCTGCACGGATGGGACTGAAGGAGTGGACCTGGACTGGGGCGTGCTCTAGGCCACAGTAAATGCCAGTCCCCCCGGAACTGGCCACTCAGAGGTTACTCGTCTCTGTCGCTTTCTTCCCCAGAGTCAGAAAGCTGGAACCACTTTCAATGTTTCCTCTTCTGCTTCCCCTCCAGGTTCCACAGGGGCACCTGGCTGCTGGGCAGAGGCCTCAGGGCTCCTCCATCCTCCTCTGCCCACCTCTGTCACCCCAGCAAGGAATCTTCTGTGGAACATGGTGGGATTCCCACTGTCTCTACTGCAGGAAGTGGAGGAAAGAAACCAAGGTAGGGGGCTAGGTGCAGTGGCTCATGCCTGTAATCCCAGCAATTTGGGAGGCCAAAGAGGGCAGATCACCTGAGGTTCAAGACCATCCTGGCCAACGTGGTGAAACCCTGTCTCTACTAAAAATACAAAAATTAGCCAGGTTGGTGGTGGGTGCCTGTAATCCCAGCTACCTGGGAGACTGAAGCAGGAGAATGACTTGAACGTGGGAGGCAGAGGTTGCAGTGAACCAAGAGGGCACCACTACACTCCAGTTTGGGTGACAGAGTGAGACTCTGTTGAAAGGAGAGGAGAGGAGAAAGGAAGGAGAAGGAGAAGGAGAACAGAAGGGAAGAGGTTGGGCGCAGTGGCTCACGCCTGTAATCCCAGCACTTTGGGAGGCATAGACGGGTGGATCACAAGGTCAGGAGTTCAAGACCAGCCTGGCCAATATGATGAAACCACATCTCTATTAAAAATACAAAAATTAGCTGGGCGTGGTGGTGTGTACCTGTAGTCCCAGCTACGCAGAAGGTGGAGGCAGAAGAATCGCTTGAATCCAGGAGGCAGATGTTGCAGTGAGCCAAGATTGTGCCACTGCACTCCAGCCTGGGCAACTGATGAAGACTCCAAAAGAAAAAGAAGAGAAGAAACGGAAGGAAGGAAAAAGGAGAGGAGAGGAGAGGAGAGGAGAGGAGAGGAGAGGAGAGGAGAGGAGAGGAGAGGAGAGGAGAGGAGAAGAGAGGAGAGGGGAGAGGAAGGGAGGGAGGGAAGAGAAAGAAACCAAGGCAGGGCCATTTCTCTCCCTTCCCTTCCCACTATTGGCTTCCTTTCCTTCCCTGGCTTACCTGATGTTCGCCGACATTCCAGAATTCTGCACTGCAGGAGTCCCATGCCAGTGTGTCTCACAGTGGGAGAGCAATGCCCCTAATCACGTGGGCTGTGGGATGACCATGTTCAGAGTAGCATGATTTAGACACAGCACTTGAACCAAATCAATGAATGGAACAGCCCTAGAGTCACTGTAAACAAACCCAGACTCACTTGTCACCTGCTGAGCTGAAAACTGCAGGAAAAGGAGAGAAGGCATGCAAGCCTCATTCTCAAATGAGACTCTCCCAGAACCTAATGTTCTGGAAAAATCTACCTAATTACTCATTAATTGGTATATTATCAGCACCGTGTGCCAAGCATTAAGTGGGTAATTCCCATTATTTCTAGAGAGCGAGGTAATGCACCCACTCAGCCAGGCAGAGCGTGAGCAGCTCTGGAACTGTCCCCACTCAGGCCCTCAGGCAGCGCCATCCACCAGCCCAGTCCTCGGCCCTATGGAAACGCTGGCTCCGACATTGAAGCCAACTCCTGAGACTTGCATTTTTCCAGCAATGTGAAAAAAACATTTCATCATTCAGGCTGATTTTCGTTTCTCACTTCTTGGGAATACATTTTTTGAAAATGGATTTTCCTCCTAAAGAATAATTTATTGTGTAAGTCAGTCTAATTCTCCTGCTCCGGAACTTTGCGTTTGGAACCTCTTGGTCATTCAGGTAGAACACTGGGGTAATTTTAGCATTGCTAATTGGCTCGATAAAGACATTTATTTTAAACAACTATGATTCAGCACTTAATCATAGCATTTGATGATACTGTCATTACAAAAACCTCTATTCTCCATTAAAAATAATCCATCTTAAAGTTTGACTATGATATATTGATCTAAACTTTCTATATTTCTATATTACTCATATATTTATGGACAAGAGAACTGTAGGGGGGAGGGGGGAAGGAGGAGGGAGGGGGAGGGAGCGGGAGAGGGAGGGGGAGGGGGGGAAGGGAGGGGGGAAGGGAGGGGGGGAGAGGGGGGAGAGGGAGGGGGAGAGGAAGGGGGAGAGGGGGGAAGGGAGGGGGGAGGGGGGAGAGGGAGGGGGAGGGAGGGAGAGAGAGGAGGAAAGGAGGGAGAAAGGGGGAGAGGGAGGGGGAGGGAGAAAGGGAGAGAGAGAGGAGAGGGAGAGGGGGAGAGAGAGAGAGCATGAGAGAGCAAGAGAGAGCATGAGAGAGTGAGAGAGAGAAGAGAGCGTACACCCTGGAACCAAAAGCCTTGGATTTAAGTCCCAGCTCGTCCATCTACCATCTATGTCTGCAGAACATTCCTCAGCCTCTGAGACCATTTCTTCTTCTCTGTGGGGAGGATCTGCTGGGACCACAAGGTATGCGGGCAGCCCTGTCCCCAGGGGTAGGGAAGAATGACTTGAGAAGGAAAAGAGGAGGAAGGAGAGCTGGGACAAGGCAGGGGTCTAGCAGGGCGCACCAAGCACTCCTGTAGGGCAGGTGCACCAGGACAAGGCAGTACCCGGCCAGGCGTGTCCCAGGAGGCAGACCAGGGACAGAGCACCTCCCCAGCCTGCTCTGTCTAGTGGCATCCACCAGTGGGAGGGAAGAGGCAGAGAGTGGGTAGAAAAGGCTACAGATAGGAAGAGTGCTGGGAATTAGAGAATGCTGAAGGTCTCTTTAGATTGGAAAAGGAAAGCCTCTTCCTTCTCTCTCTCTTCCTCCCAGACCTTTCAGAAAACCAGACACCTGAGAAGGGGGACAGATGGCCCAGCACTGGCTCTGTGCTCTGCTGCATCCTCTGTCCCAGCTCAGACACCACCCCGCCCCCCGGGGGAGGGCAGGGCATGAGCCTGCAGGAGCCATGATGGAAATGCACACCCCCTCAAACGAGTTAGCAGGTCAGAAAAGAACCCTGCTTATGAAGTGCTGGGAGGTGCCTAGGACGGAGTGCCCTGAGATCCCCGGACAGTGTTCCTCCCGTTTTGCTTTTTCTGCTCCTCTAATTTGGCTTGTCACTTACACTTAGAACAGCCCCTTGTCACCTGTGAGCCAGGTTTATCACGATGATGTTCTGCTTTCCCTTTTTATTGAGGGGCTCTGGGCATCAGTGCAGTGTTCTCAGGCAGCTCCCTGCACATGAGAGAGACACGATACAGGTCAGTAACGTTCTCGCGAGTAACTGAAGGGATTTTCCTTTCCAGAGTCTAATGAAATCTTGGGGCATGTGTGGAAGCCCTCCCCTTCCTGGGTGTGGGCACCACGGCACGTGCTCTCAGAGGCAGCATGCTGGGAGGGCCACCAGTCTCCAGTCACTATCCAGGCAGCCCTTGACTTTGGCCCCCAACACTTTTAAAAGGTAAAAGTCTGAAAGTCCAAGAATGAATTTGCCTGTTTTACCAGTTAGGATCGGGTTGGCTGCAAGAATCATAGACACCAAATCACAGTGGCTTAAACAACGTGGGACGGGGTTTCCTTGTCCCTGCAAAGTGTGGCAGAAGTGATCCAGCTCCTCTTCACTGAGCCTGCAGGGCCTGGCTTCTTCATTCTTCCACTTGGCCACCCCTAAGGTGAGGTCCTTGCCTTATGGCCCAAGGTGGCTCCCACCCACCGCATCCACATCCACATCCACATCTACCGTGGGGTCTGTTGCTGTCACCTCATTGGCCAGAACCAGCCACATGTCTTCACCTAGTTTCAGGGGAAGCCAGGAAACATAGTGATTTCTTCTAGGCAGCCATGTGCAGAGCCAAAAATTCCTCTCTATGGGAGAAGATTTGGGGGAAACAGCAAATTCTGCCCTTCACTTTAGGGTGCAGGAAAGTGGTAGTTCTATTTCCAGAAAACAAAAATACCTGGAATGGTTTCATAAGCTCTGGCAGCTCCATAGGAAGGGGAGAGCAGCAAGAGAGCCTGGCCAAGGGGTGTTGGTGCCGGGGTCACCTCCCTGCATCTACCCTTCCTGGTGGCCAGTGCGTCTCACCACACCTCTGGAGAGGCCAAGACAGGCAGATGGTCAGCCCTCTCCCCTCTACATTGGGTGCCTATAGCCAGCCTCAAGAAAAAGAGTCTGTCTTCTCCATTTTTCACAATCTGAGCCCTGTGGGGCTTCATCTCCAATCCCTCCTCTCAGCAAGCTCCCTCTGCAAGCCCCCTGCACTGAAGAGCGTCCATGGCATTCGGGGCTGTGTGGGTCTTTGTTGAGGGAGCTGCCCTGTGCACAGCATCCCTGTCCTCTACCTACAAGACGCCAAGAGCACCCCTCAGTATGACAACCAAAACTGTCTCCAGACAGTGCCAGATATCCCATGGGGAGTAAAATACACACACACCCTTCTCCAGTGAGAATCACGGCCCCAAACCCGAGATCAATTACATCTCCATCTCCAGCTGAAGCACCCATTTTCATAAGACACACAAAAAATGGGGACAGGGCTGGAACCTCCTCTCTCTGTGGCAAGGGTGGCACAGGATTACAAAGGAAGAGGTGGGAAACTGGGGAGAGAGACAGGCAGATGTCAAGAGAGAGTGCCATTAGAGACATGCTCATTTAGAGACCTCAGACTAGAGCCATGGCTACCGTGAGATGCACGTGGCACAGGTGAGGCACCCCTCATGGCACTTGCCACGTTGCATTATAATATCTTTTCCTCAGCATCTTCTGCCTCTACAGTTACAAGCTCCTCGGGCAGGTCTGGGTCTAGGTCACTGCTGCATCCCTAATCCAAGGCAAGTACTTGACCATTCACTGGTGCTTGATAAGTATCTAATGAATCAATGGGTGGATACTTATTTCCCCACTAAGGGAACTGTTTCATATCAAAAATAAGTGGTTTAAACACCAGGCAGAAGCCAGTCAACTATGTAACATTTCCATATGCCAGGCACTAATCCAAGGGCATTGTATGAAGTAGCTCATTTCATTCTTAAAGCAATCCGATGAGGTGGGGTTCTATTCTTACCTCCCCCCAGGAAGGAAACTGAGACACAAAAGCCAAGTAACTTGTTCATTTGTTCAAGGCCATATCGCCAGTAAGTGGTAGAGCCAGGATAGAGCCCAGATCAACCATTTTACTCCCAGATTATGCTGATATTTCAATATTTACTCTGCAATACTGCTTTTCCTCAAAGAATAGTACAATGCTGACATGTGTTACCTGCCTCTCCTCCTTTCCTTCCCAAACTGCTCTCCCTTCCTTCCACACAGGTCTCTCCACTGGATGTCATTGCCATGTGACCCACTTCGCCCACCCTAGGAGGGGGCAGTCACTCTGACCTTTGAAATTGTCCCACCCCAGTCTCTCCTCTCTCTCTCTCTCTCACACACACACACACAGACACACACACACAGTGATTGGCCCAGCGCTGGACCAATCAGAACTGAGCTTAAGGTAAGAGGTCACACTTGGTCTGGAGGTCCTACTATGTAGTCAGAGAAGCTACTAGGGACCATCTTGAAGCCATATGAAGAAAATCTGTAAGATCAAAGTTAAGCATAGGCAGCTAGAGCTGAGAGATGGGAGTGAGATAGTTGTCCTGATGATGTCATCTGAAACTCCGGATCCAGCTGGACCCAAAGCCCCTCCTTCCCTTCTTCCTTCCCTTTTTTCTTAAGCCAGTCTGAGCTCAGTTCTTGTCACTTGCACCTGAATAAGTCCTGACCATTTCAACAAGTATCTAGATAGTATTCGTTGACTCTATAGAGGCCTAGTATCTAACGACCAAAATGGTCTTGATTTAATTTCTATTAATTGAGTGAGATGCTCTTTTAATCTCCTTGGCATGAACATGAACAAAAGCAAGTGCCAACCTTATTTCGAAATGGAATCTCAAGACATGTTTGGCTTCTGGGGGAAAAAAATGCCTTATTGACTTTAGCATGAAAGATGGGCTTCGTGGCATCTTCACCCCAAGCATCAGTGCTCTGTGCTTGTTCTGAATGACAGAGGAGGGCCTCATTCACTCCATTGATTCAACACAGAACATATGGCTCATTTCATTTTCATGGCTTCAGAGAAAGCATTTAGATAGTAAGATTGATGAAGCTCTCAATGACCTTTGCATTTTCAGCACCGTGGCAAGATCTGACTCAGGGCTGATAGCGCACATGCTCAAGAAGTAGCATTGATTGATTGAAAGAGCATAGGTAACAAGTGTCAGTTATATGAGATTGCTCTTTGATATTTAACCGTGTATTATTAACCACGAGTATCCATCGTAAACCTGCTGGTTATAAGCAATTCTTAGTTTCACATTTTAAGCTGAAGAATAACCGTTTTGTATTTGTTATAAAAATCTGCTGTATATGAGACAACTCAAGTTACAGCAGAGAAAACTCAAAAAGTGCAAATGATCAAAATCTTATAATGGAAGGAAAACTTCTCATTTGTAATCCACATAATATCAGCAATTTTTAATCAGCTCATTTGTGTTCCAGAAATGCAGGATGGTTCAGAAAGGTGAACGTACTTAGGATCTCAGAAACCTTGCTTTCTTCTCAAACACTTGATATGGTTTGGCTGTGTCCTCACCCAAATCTCACCTTGACTTGTAGTTCCCATAATCCCCTCATGGGAGGGACCCAGTGGGAGATAGTGAATCATGGGGGTATTTACCCCCATGCTGCTGTTCTCATGATAGTGAACTCTCACAAGATCTGATGGTTTTATAAGGGGCTATTCCCCCGTTTCTCAGCACTTCTCCTTGCTGCTGACATGTGAAGAAGGACATGTTTGCTTCCCTGTCAGCCATCATTGTAAGTTTCCTGAGGCTTCTCCAGCCCTGCAGAACTGAGTCAATTAAACAGTCTTGGGTATGTCTTTATTGGCAGTGTGAAAACAGACTAATACAACACTCAAACACAGTCTCAGAGATAGCATGCCAGGGTTTTAGCCTTTCTGTTGGCACTAAGAGGGGATATTTTATTTCTAATTCGGAGAACAGAAATGGAGTAACCAAAACAAAAGCTTTGGTTAATGAAAAACTTCATTGGCAGGAGAAAAAAAATATCCTAAGTACAGCAAATTTCCGTATGTTTACCATAAAAGTAACATAGACTCCACCTCGGAGCATGTAAATATACAGATTGTTGGTTGTTTATGTTGGCAATGGTTTAAAAAAAGATTTGGAAACATATTCTATTAAAACTTAATTGCCACTTTTATCATTAACTCAATAACATATGAAAGGACTGGTATGCATTCATCAAGGAAGTAATCATTTTATTATGGTCAAGTGATGGGGTGATGTACTGTACAACATGCCCGGCCCTCCTGGTTTATGGGACAGTTAGAGTACATTGTCCATGAGTGTTATCTACACACAGCTGCAAAGAGCCCTTTAAAGACTATCCAGAAACATCAACTAAAAAATCTCTCTATTCATAAGTCTGTGTGTATAGTTTTCAATTTCCTAATTGTGTTTGCTTAAGAGAAACCCAGTTGAGTATCTTTAGACCCAAAAGTTGGATTTCAACTCTGAACATAAAGTGAAATGGGAACTTTCCCAGCATTGAAACTTATATCCAGGGCAACTCCTAGAGATTCTATGAAGCCCTAAGAACTACAGATGTTGGAGTGAGAGTCAACTGATCCTTCAAGGAGTGATTGATTCCCCTGTTCTCAGGACTCGGCTGGAGGTAGCATCTTTCTTAAATTCTGCTAGATTCTACAAGGGGTTTTTTGTTGTTGTTTTTGTTTTTTCTTCTTCTTGTTACCATAAGGAAATGGAATCAGGTGCTGACCTTCAGGCCTTTGAACTTTCCTGCTTACCAGCATTTTTCAAACTTCAACACTGTGACCAACACCTGGGGAATCTTAGGAGAATGCAGACTCTGGCTCAGCAGGCTGAGGGTGGGAGGAGGCAAAGGGGAATTAATCCCATCTGCCCACAGCCTTCCCATTGGAACCTAAGCCCCACATGCCTAGAGAGTTCCTCAACCAAAATTTCTCCAAAGATACCAAGCCAGGGGCACTTGCCATTTTCATCTGCCAAATGAGGTTATAGAAGGCTCTGTTTTCGAAGGGCCACAGCCCAAAGAGGTCTAGGTAATGCTGAAAATGACACGTGGCCGATCCCCCACCCCAAGAAAAGATACAATTTTCCATCTAGCAAAGACACCAGAAAGCTGAGCTCACCTTTCATCCTTTTTAACAAAGGAAAACATTCTCGTGAAGCTTTTCTTCCCGTGAAATTTTACTGGCTTCCCAGGGTACCACATACTTAAAGTAGAGCTGTGCTCATCGAAGGAGAGAGAGGACAGGGGTAATTAAAACCTTTCCCCCGCCCTGTGGGGGCCTCTCCCCAGAATTCCTCAGGATCCACAGAGGAAAGCTGAAATGCTTGGATTTAATACAGTGCCCCATTTTTTTAAAACTGAGGTGAACATAAAATTAGCCATTTTAAAAAGAATCATTCAGTGGCATTCACAACGTTGTGCAACCACCACCTCTAGCTACCTGCAAAACATTTTCATCACCCCCAATAATGTCCCACTGTCTTTCATATCAAATAAAAAAGACACGGATGTTTATCACACAGAGCCAATCTCTTCCTCACATAAGGAATAAAGAGATGTTTCCATTCTTTTGGCCACAAAACAGGTCACTTTCTTCAAAATGCACACACTAAAACATTAATAAATTAAAAACTTATGCTTCCAAGGGAGAATAGAAAGATAAGAGCAGGAGACACGTGTGTGTCTTGATGGTGGGTGCTGGTGTATCCTGGAACTTAATCCTCATTGCAGATTTAATATTCACAAAAGCCCAGCAACGTGTGCACTGTAATCTGTCTAATGGTGAGAAGACCAAGACACTAAGGCCTGGGGAGAATAAGTCATGAACACCAGCTTCCCATGTTAGAAATCACTAGATCAGGCTAGAAATCTCAAAGCTCTGCTTTGCCCACCACACTTCAAAGGAACTGGTAGAAATTAACAGCTTCACAGATGTAACAGCCACCAGATCTGCTGTGGGGCTGCACTTTGCTGTGAAACCTCCCCTGCATCTGTGCTCTCCACACGCCTCATGTCAGGCCCTGGAGAAGCACAAGGCGCTGTGACCTCTTCACCTGCCGAGCAAGCCCTGACGTTGAAGCAACCAGGTGCTCACAGGTGTTGTGTACACAAGACTCCAATAAAGGGACACCTGTGTGTATCCAATTTCCTACCAGCAGCAGCTCATCCATTGGGTATGAAAGGGAGGAAAACTACTAAGCCAATCATTGGATAAATAGTCACTGTTTATCTCAATGCACAAAAAACAAGCTTCTACAGGAATAAAAGGAAGTGTGGAAAGGTGAAGAGCGAGGCACAGGAAGCAGACAGCTTAGAGTCGGGAGCCTTCTTCTCTGCTTGTGCGGACAAGCTACTAACACTCTTAGCCTCCATTTTTCTATCTGTGGATGGTGGTGGCAATGAAACAACACTATTAAAAAACAAAGAATGTGTTTGCCCGAAGTAGCCAAAAGGTGGAAGCAAACAGGTGAGTGGATAACCAAAATGCGGGCTCTACAGGCAATGCAGTATCATTCAGCCTTAAAAAGGAAGGAGCTCCTGACACGGGCTAACCTCGGAGAGACCTTGACGGGAAATGCCGAGCGAAATGAGCTAGTCACAAAGAGACAAATACTGCATGATTCCAACTTACGTGAGGCACTTACAGGAAAGAAATCCAGAAAGACAGAAAGTAGGATGGTGTTTGTCAGGGACTGTAGGGAATGGGGAATTAGGGTTTCATGCATAGAAAATCTCACTTTTGCAAGACAGAAGCCTGGAGACGGAGAGTGGAGATGTGAATGTACTTAGTTCCAACTCTCCGTAAAAATAGTTCCATTGGAGCATTTCATGTTATGTGTATTTTATCATGATGTAAATAATGCTAAAAATAAATAAATAACCTGTTTGCCATGATTCTGTCATTGCTGCTGGGGAGAAAGAAAAACCACCTCCTATTGTGGACCCAACCAACTCAAGTCTGTTGCTAATTTTGGTGCTCATTAGAATCCACTGGGAGGGAGGGTGGGGGAAGCAGAAGTAAAACTGCTACCACCCAAGGTCCACCCCGACAAATCCGACCAGGATCTCCTGGGATGGGGCCCGAGCACAGGCATGTTCTAGAGGCTCTGTCACACCCACGCCACAGCAGAGCATCACCTAACAAGCGGAGTGCTCCGGTCACTGTGGTGACTCATGTCCCTCAGGCCTGATACTTACTCATGCTGCTGCAAAACAGCAGGACACATTGGGAGCGCCCAGGCATCTGTGTACATTGAAGTAGCTTTTATGTAGTTCAACTCGAGAAACATTTCTTGCCCACCAACAGGGCTGGAATCACAGGCACGTGCCGCCAGTACCACAGGGGGTGCCCTCAGAAGGCCCTCCTCTTAGTTTAACTCTCAGTGGCGGCTGCCATCTTGAAATTCTTAATTTTTGAACACAGAGTCCCGTATTTTCCTTTTGCACTGTGGGCCCTGTAAATTGTGTATTTGGTTCTACCTACCAAAGCCAGATCCTGTTCTAGGCCTGGAGAAGCCAGAGACAAAAGGCAAAATGGCTGTGGGGAGGCCATAGGCTGCAGAATGCCCAGGGCAAGGTGAGGCCAAACGTACCAGAACCTCCTCGTCCACCACCCACCCCACCCTCTTCACCAG